TTACATTAAAAATATATAATTTTCCACGACAATCTGAATTGTTTAATTTTTATCATTAATTATTTTAATTAAATAAGACATTAAAGTCTTGATTAGCAAAAATAAACTATAACAAAATCTACTATATTGCTTACATTAAAAATATATAATTTTCTACCACAACCTGAATTGTTTAATTTTTATCATTAATTATTTTAATTAAATAAGACATTAAAGTCTTGATTAACGAAAATAAACTATAACAAATAATCATTATTCTAGTAAAAAATCAGAGAGTACATATCTTAAACTAATTGTGATACAAAAAGCATTTATATGAAATCCTAAAACTCTCTTCCTTTTCTTATATTATTATTCTAAAATAACAAGATGTAATAAATGAAGTTATAAAAACGTGTGATATTATTTATCAATATGTGCTTAAATTCAAATTGGGTAAGTTAAATAATTAGCATATAAGTGCTATCGCAAAAATAACGGTATATCTTTTCTCTTAATTATTGAAACAGCTAATAAAGGTGAACTTTTAGGCTCATTTTAAAAAGAACAATAAAGTAATGATTTTGGGTCCGCTGAAAAGTTTCTTTGTTTGATTTTTTTTAATAATAACTGTAACTTGTGTACAAATAGATCATTTTGTTTGTTATTTTGCTCTAAATTGAACATTAATAGTTAATTATGTTAATTAGTGGTTGTGTGCTTTTTTGAAAGAAAATTCTAATTTAACTAATACAAAATGCGAAAGAAAAATAAAAATAAAATTCAATAAAAAAAGCATAAAGATTTCACAAAAGTTTCTTGTTAATTTTATTTTAAAAAATATGTTTTATTATATATTATTATAAAAAAATTTATAAACTTTGCCTAAATAATTATGTTGTGTTGTGTTACATATTTCTGACAATAAAAGTCATTCTTAACCATCTTGGTGATTATAGCTATTTTAAGTTGAGAGTTTAAGAAATTTTTATTAAATTTAGAACAGAAATTAAATTCACGATTCTGACGTAAAATAGACTAAAGTTTTGTCAAAGTTATGTTACGATCCAGTTTTCATACAAAATCATACTAAATACTCTCAAAATACTTATGTATTTGCTGTGCCATCAGGCGTTTCACACATAAAATGCAGCTTCACTCGTATGTTATCAAGCCATATCTCAAAAATCCAGTTATGATAACACAGTTTTCTTGACATTTATGCATTTTCTAGATTTGGTTTTCTATCTAAAACATCTGAATGCACAGAGCCACATAGAAATTTGGAAGTTTTAGTGCCACTTTATATGAAAACTGCTACATAACATAGCCTTGATATAACATTGGTCTATTTTGGTCCCTTAATCCTCAAAAATCTATAACTATGTACACCCTTGATATTTCTAATTTTTATTTAATTTTTTTTAATTATTTTTATCTGTAGTATAAATTGATGATATAAAATATATGATTCATATCCGATGCGTATCTGGTAAACCCATCCAAGAAATAGACATATGTAGAAATAATAACAAAAGTGTTTTTTTCAGACTAATTTCCCGATAGCACGAAATCGCAATTACATAATTAACAGCACATACTGTTTACTGCGGTTAGAATGAATGAATATATGAATTAAGTGATTAAATTCGCATTAGAGTATCAGCGCAAATATTATTTAAATATGATTTACTACTACTCCTCTCGTTCTTTCACAATTATAAAAATTAAGTTATGAAAATCATAACTGGTTCGTCAAGGAAAAAATTGCCTTGGACGAACCCATTTATGAACGTGCAAACATCGATGGATCATTTTACTGGAGAATAGTAAAAAAAATTGCTTCAGATACTTTTGACAAAAGCTTGATTTAATATTTATTATATTATATTGATATTTTATATGTGCGATTGATCAGAAATTAATTTGTTTTATTATCGTAAAATTTAATTAACTAAATTTGAGCCGATTTTTATGGAATTTTCTTTGGCGATATATATCATGGTCTTATAGAACCTACTGAAAAATTAATGCCTTACGACAAGTGGTTCAATTTTAATAATTAATCAAAGTTTAAGAAAATTAGTAGTTTTTTTGACGTTTGTTAAAATTAAAATTACACGATTTACTTGGTAAAACAAAAGAGTACTGGATCTTAAAGAACATACTAAACCATTAAAGTCCTACGGAAACTGGTTCAATTATAAAAATTGTTGATTTTTGAAAATTTGCTTTTAGAAAATACCTAGATTAACATGTTTGTTCCTTTTCAATTATGTGTAATAAATCCACTCGGAATACTTTTAATCACTCATAAATTAATTTAGTTTTTATTGATTAAGTCGATTATTCACACATATCGGAAAGTTCATGTAACTTGCCTCAAGGCAAAATACCAATACCAACTAGTTTGTTAAAAAATATATCAATATCATTTGCATGAAAACCGATTTAAATTGATTACAAAGTGATACATATCTTGATAAGTTTTATTTTAACTACAAAAAGCATTTTTGTCAAATTTTTAGCCCAATTACGTATGAAGTTTATACTTTTAGGAATGCAAACATATAATTATGTAATTACATCATATCTTTAATTTTAACGTGTTGAAATTCTAATTTTTAAATTTATTTTTTCGCACCTATTGATACATTTGTTGAGGTGATCACCTGCATGCAAAGCCATATTTTCATTATGAAATATCACCTTCGGAACATATATCGCCAATAAATATTTCTCTCTTCTAATTGGATTAGCGGTAATTGGCACCTTCGACTTATATTTTTTGCACGTTCCAAATTGGTACTTTTGTTTTTAGATGATTATGTGGCTTTTTTAGTATTGAAGAGAATAATAATGACTAATATACAGATGCATATAAATAGATAATAGTGAAAGTTATACATGGAGCTTTTAGCGCACCTTGTAAATTTGTAAATGTAAATTTTTATTGATACTTCTCTTAAATTTCATTCACAAATATAAATATAAATAATAAATCTAAGTAATAATTACATAAACAATTCTACTCATAACATTTGGTTTTACTGATTGCTCATAGAAATTATATTCAAAGTGATAAAATATTTAATTTGATAAATAATCATAATTTGCAAGAATTCAATAACTACTTCAACTTAAGCCAAATTTCACCAAAAATTCTGTATACAAAAATAATTATTTTATTTTATCTATTCTAGATGTCTGGTTCGTTTAGTATGTCAAATCTATATCATATTTGTTAATGAAAAGTTAAATATTTTATAAAGTTATATTATAAATTAAAATATATATATTTTTCTTATAATAGTATCGTCCCTTAGGATTTAAAAACCTCTTTCTGAAATATAAAATAGATGAGTTTCACATTTTTGTACTCCATTAAATTTCATATTTTGATATCCGCTTATTACATTGATGGCCATAATTACTGCATGTTTTAATTATTATTTCTGGAAAAGAACCTTTATATATATATATATATATATATATATATATATATATACGTATATACGTATGGTGGTGTTGTATAATTAAGGGCTTTTACGGTCCGATTTTTTAAAGTTTTTAAGATATTTATCTAATTAATAGATATGGGTAGCGCTATTTCAATGAAACTTATTACGGAAGAATTTGTATCCTTCCGTTATATTTAAAAAAAATCGTTTATCCATAAAGAATAATTAAGTGCAAAGCAAGCCACATCAATAACAAGGCTTATTTGATTTTGTATTTTTTGATAAAGAATTTTTAATTGTAGTAATAATTTTCTTTTTATCAATTATAAAATTATTATTTATATTTTAATAACAGCAAATTATAATATAGATAGTCGTTTTTTTAATTGGCTCTTTTAGAAACCATGAAAAGTTCAAATTGTTGTATGGTAATTTAGATAAATGAAAAAATAAATTTAATTCATCATCATTAAATATTTAATTTATGATAAATATAAACTCACAGTGAATGCAATATGTAATTTTAAACCAATATTTAAAATATTTGAAGAATGGAGTAAATGGTTATAAATCGCTAGAGGTTTTATATTCAATATACGTATTATAAAATTTAAATATAGTTTGGAAAATAATATTGTAGTTTTAGTTAGAAATCTCTAGAGGTTTTATGGTCTCAATAAAATATAGAAAATCTATTGTATATGTATTTCATTCCAAACCACTTTTTGACCAAAATGCATGATTTGAAGAACAGTATGGGTTTTACGCACGAAATTGGTTATGACCAATTATCAAAATACATACCCCATTAAACCCATTGTATACCAATAAACTCCAGTCGTATAGAAATCAAATCTATATCAGCCAAAACCACAGAATAATAAAATCTTCCAATCTTGAAAAAAATATAAAAATCAAGACGCTACTATTCTATCTTTGATTAGAAGATGCCCACAATCGGAAAACCAATTAAGGAACGTTTATTACAAGGTTTTATAGACTAAACATGATTCTAGTTCACGAATAATTTATGGCTCTGAAAAAAGAATAGTTTTTATGCGTGGAAGCATATATTAGTTGTATATCATCCGTAGATGGTAGGACATTAACACTTCTAAAAGTAAAACAAAGGATTATTGACCGATTTATTCGTTTTATAACTTCTTGGGCTGACCGACGGCTTTTTCTGGAAACTTGAGATTGTATAAGGAATAGTGGAAGGGCTAGACATTTATTTTTGACTTAAAAATTTAAATTTATTTGGGTCAGTTATATAAAATATAAGGGTAACTGGTGCCTTTATCATTTTCGGTCAGTATAAAAATATTAAAATGGGGTCTATTTGAAGAGTATTTTCTAACTATTACTAATACCACAATATTTGCTTCAATATATTGCCACACATGAATCTATTAATGAACGATATACATAAAATCACTACACTCTAACTCACAAATATTACACATATTATGGCCAATTTCATAACCGTTTATAAACATATATGTAAATGTACTTCAAGATATCACAGAGCCATCTTGGAACTTTGGAATTACCTGGTCTTTAACCTTTATGTGACTCTTTACTTTTACCTGGTCCTTTACCTTTACTTAGTCTTTGACGTTTACCTGCTGCTTTACTTAAACCTTTTACCTTTACCTGTTCTTTCACCTTTACCTGATCCTTTACCTTCACCTGATCTTTTCTGTTACCTGGTTCTTTACCTTTACCAGGTCTTTTTTCTGGTCCTTTACCTTTACCTGGTCTTTCGCCTTCACCTGGTCCTTTACCTTTACCTGGTCCTTTACCATTACTTGGTACATTACCTTTAATTTTTCATCACCTTTACCTGTTTCTATACCTTTAACTGGTCCTTTACCTATACATGGTCCTTTACTTTTACCTGGTCCTTTACCTTTACCTGGTTCTTTACCTTTATCTGGTCGTTTACCTTTATCTCAATATTCAAATTAATATATATATATATATAATGTGTCTAAATATATATTGACGTTTTGACGTTTCGATTTGTCATAATCAGGATAACTTAGCATACTTTATCAAAATAACGGTACAGGGCTCATGGCGCCCTAATTCTACTTGCAAGTCTGTATATTTCCAATAAATAACTGTACATTTGGTTATTTGTTCGATCAGGAAATGTTCATTATTTTGTAAATCCAAACAATCGTATTTATTTTCCACGTGTTATATATACTGCTTTATGAGTCAAAATAAAAGTTTAAATACAATGAATGATAATGAATAGTGTTGTAAAACAGTATATTCAATTACATGCTAAACTGTAAATTGTATGCATTGTAAATGGATACAGATTTTCAGAATCGAAATGGGCAACTAAAAAAATAATATATAATGTTATATTATTATCCTGAAGTTGTTTGTTTCTGTAGAATCAAGTACCTAGTATAGGATATATATGTATTATTGATTAATATATTTCTTGTACTAAGATTTTCAGCACCCTAAATTAAATAAAAAAGAAGAATATTTTTAGTTAATTAATTTCCATTGTTAATATTTATAATTTTCTAATATTTTAATTATATAAATTTGAAAGATAATGATTTTAAAAAAAAACTTTCTTTATTAGATATACTGTCTTCAAGAATTTGGCATACATTCCATCTGATCTCAATTCAGATATCAATTAACAATTCCTGATATTTACTTAATAGTTATAAAAATATCGAAAATAATGTTTGAAATTGAATAAAACATTAGCAAAATCAAGATTTAAAAAAATAACCGTAAAAGTAGCAAAAAAGATTTACTAGAAATTAATAATTTTGGTTATTATTATCATTGATGATCAATAATTGAAATCACCAGTGCTCAGTGATATGATTTAAAGACTTTTTTTCCTCAGTTAGTGTTAGTTACTAAATAAATTAATAATAATAATAATAACATATTATTTTATTAGCATAACTATTTTTTTATATAATTTAGTTAAAGCTTTAAATCGGTTCTGTACTTTAGGGCACTATTTGAACTTTAGTTGTAATGAGCTTTAGTGAACCCAAAGGGCATTGTAATGTTGTACACATATCTAACATTGGTTTTATTAGGGCCTTGTTATTGTACAAGCGTGCCTCGATATATATATATATATATATATATATATATATATATATATATATATCAGTTCTTTTGTGCAAACTTTATTCGCTTTTTCAGAAAAACTTTAATAATTCTGCACGAACAAATATCTATCGTATCGTATAGACGGCACTCTTAACTAAACTTACAATTAGTCCTCTATTATTTGCAACCTGGATTAATTCATTTTTAACTTAACAAGAAATTTTTCCATTATTCACCTATAGGTACAAATTATTTCTCACCGCAATTGAGGTAATCCGCAAGAACAATTCATTATTTTTTTAAATAGCCAAATTCATAGGTACATATTTAAAGGTCCCAAAAATTTACCTGTATAATTTCCAAAGGCAGCTTGACCGCTATCTTTGATTTGCCATTTATTTTCTGTGTAATTTATTAGTGTCACTGATGCCATTATTTTTGAATTATATTCCCATTTTTACGCACCTAATTCATAGTAATCAAATATTTGTGCAAACCGCACGAATTTTGGGGTCAAACTGGTGGAGTGGATATATAGTAATTTAAACAGAGTCTATTTGAGATAATTGAAAGTTTGGGAATTGAGGTAAATATAGTGTTTTGTTTGCAAGGTGTGTTTTAATGGATTTGCAGAAAATGGAAACTTTTATTATTAAGTATTTTGTCCGAGCGTATGTCCATCACATAAAAATATCATTACTGCTCCTTTTCTGATTTCTATTCAATTATGGAGGTCAACATTTTGCGAAAAGCTATGTTTACCTACTATATTTTTTATCATGTTTGAAATTCATAATTTCAAGTAAAATTCTACTGCTTCATATCAAGCTGGCTGAGCTGGGTTGGTTGATTGGATTTGGAGCATATGGATGTACATTTTTAATACTGAGTCATGACTAGTTCAGAATCAATTTAATATAATATTCTATGTTTTTATTCCAAAATTTAATTTTGTTTTTAATATGTGTTTTGTACGACGTTGGACAAGTTAGAATATTCTTTTGTATTTTTGTACGCCTCTGGTTTTTCATCGATGTGTTACCTGCAATGAAACATAGGTATATTCTCGTACAATCGATTTTTTCTTAATTGGTCTTACCGATTGCAATAATAGCAATGGCAAGGTGTTAATGATAATATCGACCACAGGATTGCACGAACCAACAAAAATGAAAAAAAATCTAAGAATAAAAAAAATATTTTGGGCGTTCCCAAACGTCTGCTCCTTGCGTTTATCGCCTCGTTAGTGAAAAAAATTGACTTTTTTGGCAAACCGAAAACACTGAGCGAAAAACTCTGATCCAATATGTTTGTTCCAACGGTTTTGATTTGCGGGCTGAATATCATGGGCCAATACAAATGTTGGGAACATCACCAAGAGTCGTTTTTGACAGAGCATTTTTAGTTCTTTGAGCTTGTTGAAACGTTGCGCGATTACAAGTAACATGTAATGTTCTTTTGTTAAAAAAGAATGATGTTATTTTTGGACTATAATATTGTTGTCGGCAAAGTATTTTTGTGAATGAGTTTGTAATTACTAGGTTCCGTACACGCGAAAGAATTATCCGAGTACAAAAGTTGTATGGGCTTGATTTGGGCCCATGTTTTAGAGAGGTATCACCTCTTAACAACTCGAATTCTTTGAAATTATTTTCCAATTTTGAAATTTAGATTTCATATTTTATAGGTAATAATTTTTTTATTACTGTAAGATAATAAGATATTTAATTACACTGGAGATCAAGCCAATTGATTTAAACATTATGTAATTTGATTCCTAGAATTTATATACTTTTCAGTGAGGTAAGTTATAGTAATAGGCAGAAAATCAAAAATGAAAATGTTTGCATATTTTAACGTTTCAGAGGTTTTAGAATATTTTGGCATACCTTAGATAAAATAAATGTGTGTGTGTGTGTTTTGTCCGCAATTTTTCGTCCACGTTTTCGGGCACACGGATCAACCGATTTAATTGGTTCAAAAAACATTCGATTCCTATTGATAGGGAAAAGAGCTGATTAGTTTTTAGCAGAGGCAGGTCCAGCCGTTTCGGAGATACGGAGCAAAGAGTGCAGAAAATGTAAATCAAGTTCTTGAGAGAACAGAGTATCCAATTTGATTGCTCCAAAAAACATTCAATTTTCAATGATTGGGAGAGGCAAAGGCAGGTCTAGCCATTTCGAAGATACAGAGTTACACACTTTCTGTTTGTGTTAACAAAAAATGTTTTTGGATTTTTTTTTTATTTTAATTTTATTTTCAAAAAAAATTTTTTTTTGTATATCGAAAATAATTCAGAATTTTAATTTTAATTCAGGATAAAGTTCTAAAGCTCATTTATATACTTTAAATGAATAATTTTAACTTTGTAATTCAGTTAATATAATTCTTATAAATATTAGACAAAGTTACAGTATTTATTTATAATAATCTATTTGAAAACATATAATATTCCTCGAATATTTCGCTACGGTACGAGAAGTTTCAGTTGCCTTAAGGCTCCGAATTAAGATTACTTTATATTTCATATAAAATAAGATGTTTTATAAATTAACTTTTTAATATTAAACTACAATGTCATAACCCTATGTAATATCTTTTTTTGTCTTGTGACAATTTTCTTAAATTCATTTTATTCTTCTGCTTGTTTTGTCACGATCAATTTTCTTTATTTTTCATTCCTTATTTACCGCCTTGTTAACACACGTTTTTGAAATTCAACTTGTTTTGCAAAATAAGAAAAATTAATGTTTCTGCTAATGATGTCCTCGAATAGATCCTCGAGTATCATTTACTTCTGCACCAGGTTAGTCGGCCGGTTGTTAACATTCGGCTTCGTGTTACAGAAAAGATTTTATCCGGACTGATCTCGTTAATTTAATGATTATTAATGATTTTCGAAGGCAATCTTTTTGAAATTCAAGTTAATGTTTTTCCAAAAGCCGCCGGTTTTGTTGTCATTCGACACTTTACGACTGGATGTGAGATATTTGAGAAAGAGTTCGTCGTTAATGGTTGGAGAATGGTTTAATTTGGTTTTGCATAATTATTAAGAGTTAACGATATATGATATTTGGATATTTTACACTTGATATTGGTTTACATTGAAATTGATTTAAAATTTTGGGAAGGCAAGTCCAGCAGATTCGGAGATACAGAGACAAATGTAAAACAAGTAATATTTGGCGGTCTAAAATGATCATAAGACATATTCACATCCAATTGTCAGATATTTTATAGAGATTTTGATCACGAGCACTATTTTTATTAAATTTTGAGTTCAGTACCAAGATTTATAATTTTTCAAATTTACTTATACGGTTCAAACTAATTTCAAAATTTTCAGATTTTTTTTTCAAAATTTTCAAAAATATATAAAGTGTTATACATCAAATATAAATTTTAAATTTACAATTTAGTTTAAAAATGTATATATTTCATATGCGTTATTACAATCGTAAGAAATATATCCTCAGATGGACTCATTCCGCATCTCTTCTTAATGTAAACATTTTCAAGTGTTTTGAGCGATAAGATCGTCACTGTATATTAAATGAACAAATAAATATATCGTAATTATATTAAAAATATGTTGAACAATTGCCATTAATCATTGATCAATATTTATTGTTTATTAATTTTTTTTCTCGAATATTTAATTTTGGTTCAAGCAATTTGCTTTAAGGCACGATGCCATGCACCACTATTTAACTAATTAATCCTACTTTTATGAACGGGTGAGACTGGGTACGGTTGTGCCAGGTTATAGTAATGACAGTAGTCATAACAGCTGAACTATATTGATTTTGAGAAAGTGTCTAAAGTGAGAAAGATAAAGTATGTTTCCGCGAACAAGTTTCCATAATTGTCTTTTTTTCTAATGTAGGTCAGCGCCCCCAACATAAACATGATGTGTAGATTGCATTAGTTTTAAAGAGTCAAAAGTAAGTTGTAGCCCTTTTATTACTATTATTATTATGACGTTTTTAAGGGCAATTTTCAGTATTTCTGCAAATGTTCAAATTACAATTGAATTTAGTTTTCTCTCAGCTAACTGGATATGATAGATAGATGGATAGGAATCTCGCAAAGTTTAGATAATCTCTAAATCTGATATCATCTACTAAAATATAAATATTTTTTTATATATAAGCGTTTTAAGAATTTCCAAACTGAGAAAAATGTTATATCTGATATCTCAGTTAAAACATGCATAAACGATGTAACTTCTAATTAAAAACAATATCGATACGATCTCGGAGCGTCTCGATCGATCCAATTTGAATCGATTATAAGTCAATGTCGATTTCTCGATTCGAATTTGCATAATCGAATGCGCATTTCTCTTTGTACATAATTGAGTTATCGAATTGCAGTCAACAAGATGCGCGTTAAGAACATCTTCATTGTTAAGAACATATCGGTACATCGAGGATTTTTATCATTTTATTTTTTGTTTTTATTGAATGTTGAGATTTTTAGTTTTTGTTTGGTTCGTTTTTTGCACATTTGGGAATTAAAAAGTTTGGTGTCATATAGGTATTATAAGAAAAGCCGATTTGGTGCATTGTGGGAGGCAGAATTGAAGTTGTCACGACGTGTGCAATAAGGAACACGTTTTGAGGACGGAATTGAGATTTATATACAAAAAGTATTATACAAAGAATATTTATTAAAAATCAAATTCATTTCTTTTTCATTCATAGAAAATTTAAATTAATTTTGCAGAAACCTAGCAAAATGGTTAAGAGTACTGTGTAAAAACGACACAGGTAGAATGAACAGTGTAGATGATGTACGCATTCCACATGATGATAAAAAATAATTTGAATAAAATTAATTCTTGAGATACTATTGAATAATTAAAACACTTCAGAAATAGATTCAGTCATGAATAAATAGCAATATTAATTTCAAAGCGACCACTGTCCCACTTATGTATTTAAATTCATTTTCAATTTATTACTCTTTTGAAATCCTTCCAAGTTCTGAGTTACGAAACATATCAAAATGACATGACATTTATTCATTTAGATATAAGTAATAATTTGTATAATAACTAAAATTTTTATTAATATTCCTCGACCTTTCAGAATGAATTATTCTTTTCATATCATGCATGCAAAGTGAGATAATTAAAAAACGTTTTACTGAGGGTTTGATTAATGCTATATTTAATCTTTCGTAAAAATAATTTACAAACAATCGCCAGTCACCACATGTATTAAGAGACCTTGCAAGAAATGATATCAAAATAAAAAAATTAATTGTAATTTCAGGTAAGACAGAGGCTCTGACAAATGATCTTAATATAAATATTCTTGATATACAAAACTATTAGCAAATTTGAATCTTGACATACAAAACTAATCATTTATTTGGAACTACTTGCATATGCATTTGTAGCTTGAGAAAATTTATTTTTCTTTAAGT